GCACCGTGGCACGGGGAGCAGAGAGGGCCCAGCCCTGCTGCCAAGGCTCCCCCGGCGCAATGATGTGCAGCTCTCCTTTGTAAAAGAACACCTGGCAGGCAGGAATGCTCCCGTCACACAGGGCAGGAGCACTCACACACACAGCCATGGAACAGCTCATTGCACACAGAAATGCATCTGGTTAACACTGACAATAGAAAGGACAAATAGAGAACCAGTGCAGGAAGCAGCAGAGCTTTTCTAAAAAGGTTATTTGAGATGCAAGAGACCACGATCCAACCAGGAAAAACCCCTATTTGAACTGCAAGAAATTTCATCAAATATATCTTGTTTCCCCAAAAAGAATAATTGTTACACGTGTCTCTTCAACTGGAGAAGTGCTTCAGGAGAACCAGCACAGCCTAACTGCTTCAGAGCATCACAGGCATTAAAAAGCAGCATTTCAGGTGTCACATGCGACCTCTGCTGGTTCCTGATCCTAAGAAAAGCCCTGAATGCAACGTTCTCAGCCCCCTCATTCTGTCACTTCCCTCAAACAAAGGAAAGTATGAGCCTGACACTCCAGGTACACACTTGCAATCAATTTTGGTATTGTCTTCCAGCCCTTGTAAGAATCTTGGAATAGGGGAAAAATAACTGAACAATTTTTTGCTAATGACCAAATTAATGATCTCCATTCTAATCCACTGCCATTAGCAGCCATCCATATCCAGGTGAAGGTGTCTGCTCATTATTTCACCTGGACCAGACAAAGCCTGTGTCCTTACAGAGACAGCAACACTCCAGCCCTGAGCATTCCCTACTCTGAGGGCAGCAAATCCTCTGGCCTAAACTCCACAGTATGGTAAAAAACAACAAAAAGTCATCCAAATAGTTCTAGCAGAGCTTGAAAATTCAGATGGATACAGGATTGCTTGAGAACACAGCAACAGTCAGGGACAGACAGCACTCTAGATTTTCAAAGGCAGTCAGACCACTTGGCTAGAGGTGCAAGAGAAAACTCCAATTGCTAAATGAAAGGCCACTGGCTCCCCCTTGCCAACTGCACACAAGTTTTACTCACCCTGTTTTCACTGTTTTCAGGATTCAGCCACTTTGGGAGAAAATCAGCTGCTTCTATCAAGAGAAACTCTCCATCGTTGTCATCAATACTGGTCAAGGAGAAATTGGAAATTCAGCAGGAAAAGCCATGCAGAGCACAACAGCACACTTCTGAATCCATGTCTGCTGAGGGCAGCCCTCCCACTAAAGCAGCTCAGCAGCACCCGCCTTACCTGGCTGCCAGCCTCGGGAACTCCCTGGTGATCTCCCGCAGCAGGTACACAATGAACCACTCATCCTCCACGTTATCCCCGAACTCCGTGGTGCCGCCCAAGTGCGCCGGG